TATTGTGCTTCACATTTATTGTGGATACAAGAGCACAGGACTCTTCTGTCCGTTTTTCACTCTCACAGAGTCTGCTGCAGTTCATGGTTTTATTCTCTCACATTTATTGGCCTCCGGACACATTACTGTCATGTGTACAGACGGCTTGAATTTGACAAATTAAAAACCACTTATGTTTCTTGGCTTACCCATAAAGGCTTTTTAAAATTCAAGCTAATTGTATTTTATTTTGTATTTTCTAACATGTAAGAAAAATCATTATTGGGAGGTTTGCCCAGAATATGTAATGCATTTATTGAAACAGAATAAATATTAAACATAGTTTTGCAGTTTGTGCTTTTTAATTTTGCCTTGATCTTCAACAGCCAGTGGCGGAAGATGTGTTTAGACTACAGCATTATGAAAATACTGCACTATGAGCAAAATGTATTCTTTAAAATGCATTTAAAACAGGATTCCACCTATTTTAAATTCAGTTTATTCATCATAGGCAGTGTGTTTATCTTGTGAGAACAGTTGTACAGTGTTTTCTGTGGTGTTGAGGAGCTTTCCAAAGTCTGTCTGACGATTGTTTCTATTAGAAAGTTCCTTGTCTTGGAAGTGTAATAGTAAATCTCTGGTATGCTCCTTTATGTTTATATACTTGAATATTATCAGCAAAACCTCCTTAATTAAAAGTTCTCATTATGTATAATGGCCCTTTTCAGTTTTTTTAGTTTCACAGCAGACAGATGCTATAATTATAACTACAGTAAGAAACTTCAATGGGGGGGAAAATGTATAAACTATACAAAAATATATGCAGTGGTCACAACTGTGTTTTCCTGACATGGAAATCATTTTGCATATATTTATTTTTGCTAAAATAACAAAATAATTGAGCTCCAGTTGATTCTTGATACTGGAAAAAGCTAAATAATCTCAATGTAACGTCCATTTAGTGGCTGCTCCTGTCAGGTTTGCTCGGCCGCTCTGGCCTCCCTCACCTTTCCTACTGTCTCTGGCCCATTTACACTAATCACGTTCACCTGTTCCTCACTCCCTTATCACCAGCTGCACTTGATTAGGTTGCTCACTATATTACCTGGTTTCACTCCTCAGTCACTTGCCAGTTCGTTCTAGTCTCTAGGCCATTTTTTCTCCGTGCGTTGTCATTGGTTTTTGTATGTATTTATCCCCTAGCCAGCTACTGTTTTGTGTTCCCCCCATGGACTGTTCCTCCGGACCGCGGCTCCACTCTCCCCTCCCAGGCAGGTCAATGCACAGTTGCCTATCTGTTCCACTATTGCCTTCATCTCTCTGTCTCCACCTTCAGTAGCCACCATCACCACCGACCAGCCCAGGAGTGACCCAGCCTACCCACCTCGGCCCAGCTCTCCATCTCCTCGCCTCCTACTGTTGGTCAAACACCCGGCTACTACTCATCGACAGGACTACGCACTATTTCCCTCTGTGTATATTTACTGTCATCATCACTGTACATAATAAATCACTGCTTGCACCGAAGCCGGCTACCTGGGTCCGCCTCTCTCTCGTTCGCTCACTGACAGGTGCGAACGGCTCCTTACAGCTCTGGAGTTTTCAGTCATTTTACATTTTCAGTTGTGGATGAAGTTTACCCAGAGCTGTACATGTTTAACTTTCTTTTTTTTACTTTGAGAACTTTTAGGATATCCTATCCACGCTGGCATCTTTATGTATTCATTTACTGATATAAGACTGTATCTGATGCTGTAGCGTTGTCACGGCCTGGCGGGCTTTAGGACCATGGAGCCAGGCCCTGCAGTCATGTGCATTTAAATGGCAAGTCATTATTGCAGTGATACTACACACCTTTGCACGTCAGGAGCGGGCACAGCAGGAACTCTGCCTCACTAGTGTCAGTGTGATCCCAGTGTGACTCCTCTCCTGTCTGTCCATCCATGTCCGCTGTGTAAACCTGCTCTGTCCGGGATATTCTGCTGTATCACGGGATCCCAGCGGTGTGGAATGAGTTTTATCAACAACTGGAGACGAAGCGTGAAGAAAAATGACAACAAGTGAGTAGACGGAAAAGCTTCTAGGAATCAGTGCAAGCCCTGGCCGTGTCCGTACTTGTCTGTTTTGTACAGTAAAGATAGTGTAATCGCATATTGTGGAGACGAGGGCCTTTCAGACAGAAAAGAAAAACTTGTGATTGACGGAAAATGTCCTAATAAATCCATAGAAAACCTTTTACCCGTGTGAGTTAATAGGAAAAAAGTGATTGCGTTGCCTCTTTAAGTGTGTGATTGACAGGTCGTGATGTGGCCAAGCCGTCTACAGTAAAGTAGCTGCAGGAATTATGTAATTCTTTTATCCAGCCCAAGAGCTTTAAAAATGTTTTAGTGGAGAGTGTTGTGGATGAAATGGCAATGCTCTGAAAAAATACAAGATGTAAACAGCCCCTCAGTAAAAATTGGGTCTTATATACTGTACATAGATACTCTTATATGCTTCTTCCCTCCTCTGAGTTCGAGGTCTGAAATTTGAACCACAAGGACTGAATTTCATTTTTGGCACCTGTTCACTTCACTGTCCACTTTAATGAATTCATTCAGACTGCCTTCCACTACTTTGCACAATATGAACTGACTTTCAAACATCTCACTGGAGATGTCTGTGGATGTTTCTGATGCTGTTTGTATGTGCGTGCGCTTTGGTGGGTCTTTTTTCTCTTCTGTCTGCTCTACTTCATCTCAGTGAGACTATCTGGTTAAAGGGTAAACTAATAAAGCTTAATCAGTTTCAGCTTGTGTTACATTTGATCAAATTCAGCATGTAAATGTTGGTTTTCTGTGTCAGTAAAGGCACATAGACTTCTCAGACTGACGCCATCTTCCTCTCGCCATCATGAGATCCATTCTTATGTTCTGTCTAAGCTGACCTTTGACTTCTTCACAGGGATTCCAAACAGGCACAGGACATCCCTGACAACCCAGACTCCACGAGCCAGTACGTTCACATTGTGTATACAGTCATTTGTTTATACAGTCAGGAGCAATCAGCTGTGTCACAAAGATGACAACAAAGCCTGTGCGGCTCATAGAGCTAATAACACATTTATTAAACAACTTGTTACCATTTTGTATCCACACTGAGTCAGACACAGACGGGCTTTTGTTTGTTTTCCCAGGCTGTTTGTCATAAACAGTCCAGACCTGGATCCCATCATCACAGACTTCAGGTGAGTGTAAATGAAATGAGCTAACAAATTAGAATCAGATAAACACATAATCTTTCTTGAACTTTTCTAAGATCTCTCTCTGATTTCACAAATTTTCCCAAAATGGCCAAGTTAACCTCTGGAGAAACGCCCTCACTAAGTCATTTCCAAGAAGTAAGGAGCCCGGGAGGGTCCACATTTACCAGTGTCTGTTTCTATGACTCTCATGATCATGTTCCTCAAACAAGAGCTCTCCTTTCAGCTGCTTTTCATCCCTAGAGGATTCCCTTGTTTCTCTAAACTGCCTCGATTTTTCTTCTTTTCTTTTTCCTGTTTCAGGTTACAGCTGCCGGACAACAAAGATGTTATGGAATCAACAAATCCATCAAATGGGTAGGAATGGAGAGTGAAGCTAAAACAAAACTCACGTTTAGAGCACATTAGAAATTCACTTTCCAGACGTTATGTCCTTCCAAAGTTGTCATGGTACCTTTTTTTTTTTTTTTTTTTTTTTTTTTTAAATGTGATTCTGCTTGTCGGTGTATTGGTCCCAACAGATTTCAAATTACACCTGAAGCACAGGACTTGTAGACATGTCAGTGTTATGATGAGGTCAAAGTCACTGGCGTTCACGCAGCTTCTCACGCTGTTCGCCGTATCGGTAACGGTGACAGTGAGAACCCAAGAGTAGCCTAGTCTCTCAGCTCTCTGTCGGGTTTTGGACCAGATGCTTACTCATTAGGCTTCTCCTACACTGACCTTTTGGAGTGTACTACAAATAATTACAAATGTGATTCGTTCTTGTGTAGTACATAAAAGCATATTATAGGGTTAGGTTAAAAAAAATGGTATGAAATGTTTCTGGAGTCATAAATCCTTGTTTTTCAGTTGCTAGTTGTACTGACGACAGCAGTGTATCAAATCTCCCTTCTCCATTGTCTTCACCTTAAGCCTGTGACCCTCTGTGCTTCTCACAGCACATGTGAGAGGCAAAAGGGTTTTTTTTTTTGTTTTTTTTTTTTACTGCCGTTTACAAAGCTAGATGAGCTTCCTCTCATGTTTCCGTGCTGGGCCATAATGCTTTGCTCTTGTTATATGTTTTTATGGGCTACCATGAGCGAGACAAATATAACAAGCACTTTGACATGGTCACAACTCTGATCTGCTTTCTTGATGTTATAAACTGTGTGTGTATGTGGCAGTATGCATGTGCTGCTCTATTTGATGTTTTACACTGGCTTTACTGAGAAGAATAGAGTTTCTGGGTAGGATAGGTGATTTAAAATAATATGTGACTGTAACCTGCAAGAACTCGCATGACATTCTGTAGCATCCCTGCAGCACTGAGGGGGAGCAGGACTCTGATTGGTCTACACGGGGGTATCAGACAGCAGAGGCTGTGGGAGTGCCTGGAGCTCCCAAAGTGATTTGCTCACTTTTTAGGATAGTCAAGTGTCTGCCATAACTCAGACACATCTGTTACCACTTATGGACTTTAGAGCTGCTGACAGTTACTTTAGAAATCATTGAGTTGATTGACACACAATCAACAGGCCATGGGCAGAGCCAGGGGTGGCACTGGGCAGGAGTAGATAAGGAGCACAGCTAAAGTTAGCTAAATAAAGCACTCTGCATTTGTACACAAAATAAATGGTTTTTAATAATGTATGCTATATTATTACATAGAACTAGGGGCTTCATTTACTTTATACATGTTTTTCAATATGCCACCCCTCTGAGTCTGTGCCCCAGCCTGTCCACCCCACCCAAGATTTTCTAGACCTGCCCCTGCAACAAGCATTCAATAAAGTATGAGTAATCATTTGAATAATTTTTCAAGCAAAAACATCACATCATCCCTTGTTATAGCTTCTCAAATGTGAAGATTCTCTGCTTATCGTCTTCTCATGTGATGGCAAACCTGAATTTTGAACAGCTGGTTGGACACTTTATAGACGTAAATGGAATAATCAAGAAAATAATGGTTAGTTGCAGCTTTGATGCAGTTGCTAGACTGAGGTGAATAAACAATGATTTTTATGTGAAGTATAAAAGATATTTAAGTATCCTAGAATTTAAAAACACTTGAGCAGAAATGGTTTTGTTTTAAATTTTTTCAGGGGTGGGGGGATACTTGCATTGAAAGGTTTGATCACCTTCACACTTTTCTGACACTGGATAATAGACCTTTTTCCTAGCAGGCATTGTGATGTGATTACAGCACATCTGTAATTTCCCCTGATGTGAGATGTGGCTCAGGTTAGTCCTCTGTACAATATGTATCTGTGTATAGGTGTTTGTGGTGTCTTGATCGCCAGAAGCAGCAGCTCTTCTCTCCTGGCCTGATCATTAGGTCCTGTCTTATCTACATTGCTGTGCTGCATCTATGCCTTCTATTTCTGGATTTGCTGCAGTGTTCAGACTCTGCCACTGCAGCAGGCCTGACAGTCTGAGACTCTCACAATACACCAGCGCTCTCTTTTCCTATTCTTTCACTTGTATTTCGAAGGAAGCACAACACCCTTGTATTTCTAACATATTACATCTTAACTATCATTTCTTTCCGGCTTCCTTCTTTTTTTTTTGTAGTTTCTCATCTTACATAAAAACTCTGAGGCCTGGAGTTGTGGGAATTAGCCCCACCCCTGACTTTGCATTAACCAATTGGAGCAGAGACTGCAGTGTGTACATTGAGGGAGATAATCAGAAGAGGTGGGAGAGTCTTTTGTGTGACTGTGTGCTAGAGGCAGCACAGAAAGACTATAGTATTCCCTTATGTGTGCTAGTCATCCCAATTATTAAAGTCTGCTGTTAGTGCTGCATCCTTCCTCCTCCTCCTCCTCCTCTCTCCTTCAATCCCCCCCCACCCTCCTGCCCTTCTGCTGCTGCTCTTGTCGCTGCTTCTACAGAAAGATACACAATCACGCTGCACTGCTGGACAGGCCCTAGGTTCACCTTGACTCGACAGTTTTCTTTATCTTACTTGTTCTCTGTGTCTCTTTCATACACACTTTACCAGATGAAAATGTCAGGAGAGGAAGAGACTCTGTCAGACGGGTAAGAATCATCGTTGCTGCTGGTGCGTTGCTATGTTTGTTGGGCTCTGGAAGATGCACTGTAGGTGTTGTTCCCATCAAATAAAAGGAAATATGTGTGTGTGTGTGTTCTAGATGTGACAGTCAGGCATGTAGACAAACTTGCTCGGAGCATTATAGGCGCAGCTTGGCAATTTTGTGTCACAGCTTAATGCAACAAGGCCTCTGAACGTCTTGTACCAGCTGGAATGAATGCTGAGAAAAGCTCTGTGAACCGGCGTCAATAAACTGTTTCATTGCTTGTGAACCGGCATTTGTGTGTGTATGTGTGAGTGAGAGAGAGCGTCTTTCTGAATAGCGGCAGTGTGCTGTGTGGTTTTATTTGTATGTGTGTGCTTGTGTGTAGCTGCCTGATTAGTGATCATGGTTGTGGAAGTTGCTCCCAAGAGAAATCAACCCAGAAATTCAGACTTGCTGACTTGAAATTCTGTTAAATTACTGGAACAGTGCAAGGAACGCTCGCCTCATCGTGCTGGTTGTCATGCCGTTTCCTTCCTCCATAGGATTGTCAATTATTCCCTGACAGTGTCCTATACTGTGTGATAATCTCTGGCCACTGATGGAAAGTTTCTTTCTTTCCTTTTCAGTGTCCTCAGGCATCAGATTGTCTTCAAGCTGTAAACCTGCCAAAATCTTGTTTCCAGTCTGGACCAGTTGAGTTAGTTTTGACTGACTTTTTTTTTTTTCCCCTTGTGAATCCTGACAGAATAGCAACTTCTATTGGTTTACTAATTTTATCAGAGCCATTATGTAACAGGCCCGTGTACCTGCTGGTTACAATGTGCTTTGTTTGTTTTGTCACTCAGACATTCACCTGATTTGTTTTTGTTCTCCTGCAAACCTGTTGGTTTAAATAAAAGGCACAGTAGGCAGTCACTGCACCTGCTCTGGTTCTATTTAGTCAGTGGCCACTGGGGGAAGATATGACCTCACAGTATTATTTTGGAAAACTATGAGGTACTGTAAATTAACATTTTTGTGTGTTGCCTTGTTTTCATTTCATCCAGGCATTAATAATGGTTCTATTATTGATCCTTTTATGTCATGTATTTATTACTATAATTGTAACATTGCTGCCGTAGTGTTTACTTTGACAGGAGCCACCATTGTGAGTTTCTACTGTTATGAGGATGCTCAGTTTGCTGCAGGTCATATGGTGAACACAGGAGTCATTAGGCAGGGCTGCAATAGTGTGTGCACTACTACTCTGTGGTGTGTGTGTGTGTGTGTGTGTGTGTGTGTGAGAGAGATGAGTTTATTCCTCTGAGTTTCTAATGGGCATCGGTGAAAAGCACAAGCTGTCTGCTCTTATACACATTAGTTGTAGTTGTGTTTGCTTAGTTTTCTGCCAAAGTGTGCTGCTGACATCCATACTTTGTGTGAAAATGTAAAATTCATTGACGACACCACAGTTGTTAGTCTAATTACTGAAGATGAAATGACATGCCATAGAAGTGTGGATAAGTCTGTTGACTGGTGTCAGGTCAGTTCTCTGCATCTTAATTCCAAGAAAACCAAAGAAATGAGCTTTGATTTTAGAGCAAGAAGAGCAGGGCACCTACAAATTGCTGTTAATGGGGATTGTATTGAAGTTGTATTGAATAAAAATATCTTGAGACAGTTATTAATGTAAAGCTATTATAGGACTCAAATAGGCTACAGATGCCTATAGAAGGGGCTACAGAGATTATATTTCAAGCATAAGTTTTGAAAGTTTGATGTGGATAGAAATTTACTGGTCCCTTTCTATCATTCCTTCGTGAAGAGTATATTCTAAGTTTTTGTTTTATTGCTTGGTATTTCTCACTGCCTGTAGTCAATAAGAACAAATCTAATGAGATAAATAATATGTCTAGTAAGATCATAGGTAAACTGCATCACAGTATGACAGGGCTTTGCGAGTCCCCAGAGTTTTGGAAGGCCCTGGCAGTTATTATTATTTGCATAGTGAATACGAGTTGTTACCATCAGGACGAAGGTGCAGGTTACTGCCGCTGCAGACTGTGCATGCCCAGAGATCTTTTATACCATCCAGTATTAAATTGCTGAGAACATTTTTACGAAAATGTTTTATAGTGGCTTGCTGTGATATGTGTGATGTCTGTGTGGGTTGTGTATGTTCATCTGTGTTGTGTTTATATGTAATGTTTGCCTTAATGCGTAAATCACTTGCCAACAATTGCCACAGACAGAAAAAGGACTTCTGAAAGGACAATAAAAAAAGTGAAATTGGATGTGATACTGAACAACTGACTGTATCCCAACTGTAATATGTACATGGGGAACAATTGTTACACTCCTGTGTTCAATACAGGGGCACGTTCAAAGCACAAAAGCAAACTGAAATTTACAAGATGAGACAAAGTCGAAATCAGGTTCCTGTTTCACAAAAACACACAATAATCTCTGAAAATATGCTTCTTCTCAAGCATGTCAATATAAAAAATAAGATAGATAGCATAACTGAATTTATGAAAAAGTAACAAACAAGCCAAAATAATCTTGAAGCTGGAGACCACATAGTGTAGAGCTGCTGTCAGCCGTTAGCGTTTCCAATTTACCATTTTCCTTATTCATTCATTCTGCTCAGTACGCTAAATGTTAATGTGTTTTTCCCATGCTGGGTCCTCTGTGCACCCTGGAGGGAAGAAATAAAACAGCCATTTAGTAAACAGGTCCATTACCAGAGCACAGCTGGGATTGGCTCCAGCTTCCAGCGACCCTCTTCAAGATAAGCAATATAGATAATGGATGGATGGGTTATCAGAACAGTGAGTTAACAAGGGGGAAGTAGCCTTGTGATGAAGGAACAGACTCAGTAACGCTCGTTGGGCCACACCATACACTTAACACACGACACTCATGTGCATCATGAAGCCAGAATACACAGCATCTTTATTAATAATCATTAAGAGCTTCCCCAGAGAGAAGCAGCTGCATGGTCCTGGTCTCGTGATCCTGGAGGCTGGGCAGAGTCGGGCCTGGTTAGTGCATGAACAGAACAACCTGAGAATACAAGGTCACTTCTATGCAAAGATTCTGTTCAAAACAGCTCATTGAACTTATATTTTTATAGAAGTGGGTGGTTGTGCATGTAGTGTAATTTAAGCAGATCCTTTCTGTGATGTGCACTGTAACACAAACAACAGCACTAAGAGCACAGCACTCTGGACAGTCAGGCTGACTGTGGCTGTGTTTTGGTTTCTCTTGTGAAGTAGATGTGTGGGAAGGATAAACACAGAAAGTGACCTGAGGCCAAGATCCCCATTTACCTGTTGTAGATCAGACTTTTGAGAACACTAGGGAGAGGGAGACGGAGAAACGGTATCATCTTCATTTTGCTCACTGATCAGAAATGCTCTCTTACCTAAGAATTCACCGACCCTCACCTTGGCCTGTTTATCAGACAACATGTTGAGCAGTTTTCACCCTCCTCATCCAGATTATTTGTTTTGGTTCTCCAGGTGCTCGCGGTCAGACCTGTCTCTGGCTCTGGAGGACTGTATGACTGCCCTGGACATGTTCCTCAGAAACGACTTTGACGAGGCACAGGCCCGGCTCAAATGCAGGTAAGAGAACAACCTGGACTCACTGTGCTGGTATAGCTGCTGTTCCCAGCTGTAGCAGAGCTCAGATCCACCTGCCTTTGTGCTTTTATGGAAAATATAATGAATGAGAGACAAACAGCTGACTTTATGCTTGCAAGCAAATGTATTTTTAGTGTTATAGTTGCTTCTGCAGGGAACTGTGCCCACACGTGATGTGTCACAGTAGGCACAGGTGTAAATAATTAAATTAATGATGGCTGAATTTAGCTTTACAGGTTCAGCATCTGTTTACTGTTTGTGTTTGTTCTCTGCCATGCTGTCATGACTTAACTGGGACACTTGAATAGTACAAAGCCATCATTAATCTTATTCGTTCAACCTGTGTTTTGACTATGACAAGTCAAAATGTCTACCGTGGAAAAGGCCTGTGGATAGAGTGGTTTTGTTTGGTGCTAATTACCAATGCTGGTATGCTGACCTGCTGAAATAAGCTGATAAACATGCTAAACATATCTGTTATGTTGGCATGCTGATGAGAGACAGGGAGGGTCTAACAAATGATGCTATCAAGTTGCACATTATAAAACCAAATCCCTGGAGAATCTCTTTAAAGTTGAAAAAGCCCACTCCTTGGCTCAGTAACAGGTGAGAAACAGAAATATTAGGGTCTCCGCTAGGACTGGTGGAGGAATTAGTTTGGATGTTTGCTGCTGATGCCTGTTAGGTTTGTGTGACTGTTGGTTTTACATTATTTAAAAGCTGCTCTGAATTACATTGGCAAAAACACACTCCTTCCCCAGATGCACACCATGCATCTAGTTTTGTCATCAAGTTACTCCATTGTTCACTGCTCTATTGTCAGAACCTTTTTCACACTTTCGTTGTTCTTCTCCACCCTCTATCTTTTCTCTGAGACTTTGGACCACTCCTTAAACTCACTCTTGTCTTTTCAGTGCCAGTTGACATTGAGACTGAAGAAACGCTTTCTTTTCAGCCTGTACTTTTTTAAATGTAACTCAGTAATACGGTTAAATTGACAGGCACTGGTAGTTTGGTGTTTTTGGTCTTGATGTTAGGAGTCCTTTTTTTGGAGTTTTTAAGCGTCAAACACATTCCGGTTGATGCCATTTGTGTGATTTCTTATAGCTCAGACTCGACTATGCAGACTTTCATGTTTAACATTACGTAGGTGCTCTGTTGCCAAGTGGCTGTCCCGGTGTCATAAACATAACATGCTTCTGTTGTAAATGGGAATTTGTGCAATTTTCCAATCCGAAAGAAATTCTGTTTAAATCCTCCTTGGCAGCCTGTCAGTCCTGATGTCCGTGATGATCTTCCTCCCACAGACCTATGTTGGTTATCTCTGTCTCTTTAAATCCCTGAAGTATAAACAGTAGTTGCAAATGTGTCCATGTTTTTATATTTGGAGCCCACATGGCTGGGTTTGACACAAGCCGTTGGATAATATGAAAGTCAGAAATCAGTAGAGATCAAAAGTGGGAGGTGCGGTGTGTCTCGACTATCTGCTCAGCTATATTATTGTAGTCTTTACTGGTGGAATTGCTGTTTCCTTTCCTCCAGCCTCTCCCTAGTTTTAACAGAATAATTCAGTAGACAGTAAATTTTAAATTGTCATTATACATTAGAATACTGCAGCTTAGTTGAATCAAAAAGCAGTTTCATTTTGTTTGGTTTGCACAAAACTCAATAACACCCACCACTCTTCTCTGACAGTTCCCGTTTGATGCTCATAAAAAGATTTTGTGAAGAAGTTGATGGCCCTGCGCGTCAGACCACTAATATGTGATATTATGTAAGGTGTGAAAACACCTTCTGCACTCCGTGAGAGACAGAGAGAAACACTGAAAGACGTCAGGATGTGAAACGCCAGCAGAAGCTGTCCTTCCCTTCTCATCCTCATCCTTTGTCTGTCCTTTGCTTTAGTTCATGTGTTCCTTCCAGTTTGCTCCTTCTTTGATTCTGGGTCTTCTTTCCCACTTTACCCCCTTCTAAGGCTGTGTTCTGACACAGTCAGTTGGAACAAGGGTATACCAGGATTTCTGCAGAACACACACATACAGAACTAAAATACTGACTAGACTCTTTCAGGGAAACCTTTTCTTTACCTGGATGTAGTTTATTGAAGTATATGTTAATTCCCTTACCTCCACATGCTTGTTTATGGTCAGAAGCAGCTGGAGTCTGTCACTGCATGCACTGGGAGAAGAAAGGGCTATAGCCTGTGGTGGACGTACACACATCCCTTACTTAAGTAAAAGTTGCAATACAACATTGTACAAACACCCTGTTACAAGTAAAGGTTCTGCAGTGTTACTTAAGTCAAAGTACAAAAGTATTAGCATGAAAGCATACATAATGGACTACAAGTAAAAGTATCCATTATGCGCAATCTATATATAATATAATGTATATTATGTTATTGAATTATAATTATTGATGCATTATTGTGCACATCATATTTAATATTGCAGCAAGTGAAGAGGGAGCTAGTTTTAGCTGCCTTGTATACTGTACTTATAATGTCAATTACTGCTGGGTAGTTTGCGCAAAATGAAAATACTCAAAGTACAGACATTTCAAAACTGTACTTAAGTACAGTACTTGAGTAGATGTACTTACTGGCTATAGCCATTATAAGGGTTAATGCTCTCACACTAATATAAATGGCAGAAACAGAGACCGGCAACATACATATTTCCCATGGGAAGTTGTGGGACCAAGTCCTGAACATCAGTTTATTTTTCTGGGTATTATTCACTGAAGCATCTGCTGTCATTATGGGGATGCTGATGTTGATGCAGCAACATTAATTCATGCCATGTGGACAGAGACATCATATTGTAGAAGAGCCTTAGAAATGTACTGCAGACACATTCTTCTCTTGTAGGATGATTAAAATATTTTTTGAGTGCTGTGTTGGTTTTTTTTTTTTTCTTCTTCAGCTGACCCCATTTTGCTCCCTTGCTTCCGTATGTCTGCCTAGTGGTTCTGCAGTCTGAGTTACTGTTCATGCATCAATAACAACTCATATCACTTCATATAAACCTATAAAATGAGCTATTTCTATGTTATCATCTTCTAAGGTTCACATATTTGGGATCTAGACTGTTTTTCCTCATCTGAGTTGTAGTCAAGTTACATATTCGCCTGCAGCATTGTAGCAGCATGTCCGCTAAGTATAAAGTAATGTTTTAAGTGTGTTTTTTTTCTTGTTCAGCCTTTAAATGTCATAGTTCTCCAAGAGAAAGCTTCATTTTATTTGCTAGATCTCTGCTGAAACATGTCATCAGACCATGCCCAGCCACGACTGTGCAGTCTTATTCTTTCTTGCTACACTGTTCCCCACAGCTGCAGTAGGGAGTGGGTGCATGAGGTGACTGGTATGCCTGACATACATATACAATACAGCAACAGGTGGAGGTGTGTCTTGGTGAGAGGGTAGGAGGTTGTTCCTCTGCACCAATGAGCCTTCCGTAGATGGACACAGGAGCATGTGCAAGTTTCAATACTCTCATTTTTTTCAGTAAAGGGGTTGCTATTTTTAATTTCAGAACATTCACATTGTTTTAATGGCTTGCAATAAGAGATGACGTCAGTGATGTCTTTGGAAAGAAATAAACTGTTCTGCATGTATTGATGATCTCACGGTGGCTGAATTTCCCTATTATAACGTGCAGAAGTGAATACAAGGCGTGTGCGCACATGAGTTTTTAAGAATGTACAAAACAGTTCCTCCATTATATTATGGAACATTGTGGTGAAAATATGTAGAAGCTTTAGTTCTGTCACAGGGACAAAGGACTTGGCAAGACTTTGCACGATGATGCTGACTGGAAACCATCTTTGTTCTGTTGTGAACTATTTAGAATTCCTAGCCACATTTGGCACAGCTACAAGAGATTCAGTTTACCACACAGCTCCATTTTAAAAGGTTTTCCAGCTTGAGTCTGGGCTGTTGTCTAAACCAAACAACGAACAAGTCTGACACAATGTAAATTTAAGGCGGGCAAATCTCAGCTTCTCAGTCTGTACATTCTGCTGACTCTGCTGTTCCTTCTTTCCCTGTTACTGATTCGGTTCTTGTCTGCTGTTTGAGTTAATAATACATTTGTTTAGATGAAGAATTGAAGCTCTGCAAACTCTTTGTGTAACCCATGATTTATTGCCACATTTATTGCATAAGTAGACTCTAATTCTGTGAGAAACACTGTATAAAATATATCTAATAATATAGGTCAAGTTGAGCACAATTAACATTTAGTGGCTCTTCTTTGTGCTCGGCTTCCATGGGTTAGATAATATGTTCATGCAGATTTTGTGTTGTATGTGCTTGGGAAAGACAACAAGTTGCAGCTCATAACATAGAAGCTGGTCATATGATCCAATCTGTGATACACAGCAGGGAATGGTCAGGTATGCAGACTGACAGCATTCCCTTGTACGCCCCTCTTTTTGTCTTACTAATATTATTTTGCGACATCTTTGTTTGTGTCTGTGTGTAATACAAACATGCACTACAGTGCACAGGTAGACTAAACATTCAGCTATGACTGTGGTCATATTAACAGAATTGCCATATGCTTTTGTTACTTTGTTGTTTACCATAACTTTACTAAATTAATTACTCCTAATAGTAGTTGAGAGCTGAAAAAGTGAAAAAAAAAAAAGTAAACTGGAAAAGCAAGTACATCTACTGGAAGAATGCATGTTCCATCGTTTTACTTCATATACTTTCGCTCCTCCTTAATCACTTTAAAACCTGCAACACCAGCTCTCCTTAAACACAGGGTGTGACATGAACAACCAGCAACCATAGATATAAATAGATACTGTTTTTTATTGTGGTGTGGTTTTAGTTTCTCAAGTATTCAGCCACGTCGCTGTTGTTACCAAGAATTGATTTATAGATGTTAGCTTTTCACATTCTGTGCCTGTGTTGCTCTGCCTCTCATTTGTACTGCCTGATTAAGTAAGTGCTGTGTCAGTCTAACTCTTCTCAAGGTTAAACTAAAGGTTTTCCTTCCCACTTCGTTGTTTCTGTTGGCACACCACAAACGGCACTATCTGTTTGGATCAACATGTTGTTTGATGTATAACATTCTGTTTTATTTTTGAGGTCAGTGCAGTATAGCTGAAAACAACTATTGTCTCTTTTGCAGAGCCAAAGAGAGCATGTACCATGCTCTGGCTTATGCCACCATTCTGGAGATGCAGGCCATAATGACCTTTGACCCCCAACACATCCTGGCTGCAGGAACCACCATGAAGGAGGCCCAGGCTATATGTCAGCGGTGAGACTTTCCCACAATGCCACAGTGAAATAATGACTAGCAAATAAACCATTAATGCCCCTCTAGTTAGCTGCAGAAGTGAACGGTGTCTCTTTAAAGTGAATTAGTCTAGATGGTTTAGAAACAATCAAAAAGGTGTGGTTTTAAAAAATTACATTTCCTTTTAAGTTATAAAATGGCACAAGATGATCAGCACTCATACTGTTCATTTAGACATTCAGGCACACAGGACATGATACCTTTTGAACACCATTTAGTAACATCACACCAGATCCACAGAACAAGCTGAGATCATCCTGACTCACCGGCTAAAAGAATGTCACAACTGCCTGTGACAGTTTGTCCTGAAGTTGCTGTGAGAATCCGTCAGAATGGATCTAATTAACCTGCCTTAATAAGCCACACTGTTCTTCAGAATGAAACTGATAGGAAACTAGGAGGAAAATTAATGCACGGTCAACACCTTTTTGTAACCATATCCTGCAGCTTCCTAGCATCCTGTTTTTATTGGACAGAGGCTGAGTCACTGATGCATAGAAGAAGATAAGCAAATAAATGCAGGACAGTGTAACACTGTTAACAGTCCTGACAGAAGAGATTTTTAGTGAGAAAAAGCTATTGATTGTTTTGTGTGTCTCTTATTTAGACACCGCAAAAAGTCAAGCTTCTCCAAAAACTTCACAGAAGGTCAGTAAAGCCCTGCATTGACAAAATGAGTACCATGATTTATAATAACAAATCATCACAATCTGCCTGAGCGCTAGTGTCTGTGAGCCTGTGTCAAGTATGTGATAAAAGCAATGACAGCTAGTTTGAATCTTTGCTGATGGTGTGTGTCTGTGCACTCATGCTAAAACGCTATATGCGTATGTGCGTATGCGTGTATGCGTACGGGGCCATTACACTGCAGTCCCTGGGCTCTGCTGAGCTTTCAGGCTGTCTGACTGAGCATAATCATTTTCACCTCAGAGGAACTCCATGCTGAAGTCTGCTATGCCGAGTGTCTCCTGCAGAGGGCAGCGCTCACCTTCCTTCAGGTCAGGAGCAGGGTTTATGAGGCAGCCTGGAACTTTCCACCACTGTTTTATCCAAACTGACATTCATCTAAACTCTGTCTTTTTTTAAATTTTTTTTAATCTTTTCTGTTTTTTTTTGTTCCATCTTTGCTCAGGATGAAAACATGATCAATTTCATCAAGGGGGGAATCAAAGTGAGGAACAGCTACCAAACATACAAGTGAGAATCTAAGCTAGAGAATGCCCTTGTTTATTCTAACCAGGTTTTTATTAATTATTCCCATTTTCCTATAGAGAATGTGAAGTTGGCATAACACCATTTTTATTTTGGGTAAATGTGCCATGTTTGGAGCATCATGCTCATTATCAATCATAGATATATACACTACATACATCTATAAGTTAATTTAAAGAAATAAATACTATGCCATATAGCTACATAAAGTAGTGGATGCTTTAACTACATCCAAATGTCCACTTTAGTGTTTAGTTTGAGGACAGGCAGGACAGAAATGAAGTCATCTGCAGTGTTTGTGTCCTCTGTTGACAGCTGCTAGCTAGCATTAGCTCCCAAACTGAGAGCTCATATCAGTGTTAGCTACAATCAACTAAGGTTTATTGTAGCTAACATCCCAACAATCAGCATGGTGTGATGTACATTCACATTTTCTGTTCAACCTTTTTACATCTTACATCTTCTTCATTGCCTTACATGACTTTCTCCCTTTGTCTTTACCTCACAGAGAGCTGCACAACATCCTCCAGTCTGCTGGGTACACTCAAAGTGACAATCACAGCCATTTTGAGGGTGGTGTTAAATTGGGAGTAGGAGCCTTTAATCTAGTAAGTAGAAGGCTGTACATTTGCACTTGTAATCAAACATGCGGCAAAGAATAGTTCATATCCTGAATGGTGGGGACAGTTGACTAATCAAATATCTCCAGACTAAACAAACAAAAGGAAGCTACTTGTTTAGTGATGATTCACAAAGTGCTACACTATACTGCAAGAGTAGCTTATAACATGCACACAAGCAGAGTGTTTTGAGGTCCTCAGCAGCAGTGATTTCTTCTTTGCAGACTTTCTAATCTTCTTCACTGTTAATGTTACAAAATCATAGTCACAAAAATGAAAAATGCTTCAGTGTTACTTAGGGCTGCCAGACATTTGCATGTCTTCCTGTGACTGTTGGCTTTCTTCCTTTTATAGGTTAGAAACCCCCTGTAATTACTGTACAAGTTGTGGCCGTTGTTTAGGAAAGATCACTTTCTTAGAACTGTGCTGTAATCATGCTGCTTGTCTATTTACAGATGATTTCTATGTTGCCCACACGAACGCTCAAGCTCCTGGAATTTGTCGGGTTCTCTGGTAACAAGGTGAGCTCTGAGAGATGGCAGCCAAACAACTGTGTGGATTTCTCGTGAACTGCATCTATGATTTCCGTTTCACTAGTTAACTGAGTCACAGTCGTGCCTTTAAATTATACTGAAACTCTCATGTGCACTTATGACCTAACAATGACCCTGGCATATTTAGTAAAAGCATGAGATGAAACTTTGACATCTGACAGCTTAATAGGTGAATGACTCATAAGAATTGTTTTGATCCTAATGACAAATGACTATCACTTCTCTTTACCATGACTTCTTATATTTTGTTATGTAGCCTACTACTGAGACACTACTGGTTACTTTGGATATTATTTTTTTAGAACTGACTTATCTCATTGCAAAACTGACATCCTATACAGACATTTGGCCAGATTATGATCCTGGGAGGCTCTGGGGCACTTCATTTTTGGAAGCCCTCTTACCCCATCCACTCAATTATTAAAACCTATCAGCCTCAAAATCAGAATATTGGATTTTGAACTTTGGGACCCATGGAAACCCTGTATGGTACAGTGACGTGTGGTCAGGGGAGGCAGGTGAGGCAGAGCCTCCCCCGTCAATCTTGAAAAGAAAAAAAAAGTTAACCATAAAATATAATAAATGTTAATATTTG